TATTGTCTTTATATTCATGATGCAAATGAAGACATTTTATGTAATTTATGACAATCATTACAATGTGACATGTATGAACATTATTGTGAATGTGACGTTATCCTGGGATTTTCACAGTTTTATCTTGACATTTCTCTGATAATCTTCTTGAACATGAAATCCAATGCAGTGATTGGTCCATGCTGGACTCGTAAATCAACTCTAAGTCTGACACTTAAGAATCACTCCTACTCTTTGCTTAAAGTGATACTGAGACGCTTGATAACTGACTTTTAGTCTCGGCTTTTAGCTAATATCTTTTTACTCTTAAGTCCATTCTTTACAGCATTCTTAAGAGTAATTCTAAGAAGTTTGATAAATACAGACCCAAATCAGTCATCATTCCATATTTTGCGGGTGTTTCAGAGAAACTGAGACGTTTTTTCTCTAAACATGATGTACCAGTGGCTTTCAAACCCCAAAACACATTACGACAAAGATTGGTTCATCCCAAAGATCCAGTTCCCCGGCACAAACAGAGTAATATTGTGTATGCTGTTAAGTGTCAGGAGGATTATGATCAGTTATACATCGAGGAAACAAAACAGCCACTGTTCAAAAGAATGAGCCAGCAGAGACAAGCTATGTCATCAGGCCAGGACTCTGCAGTTTACACTCATCTACAGGCCAGGACTCTGCAGTTTACGCTCATCTACAGGCCAGGACTCTGCAGTTTACACTCATCTACAGGCCAGGACTCTGCAGTTTACGCTCATCTACAGGCCAGGACTCTGCAGTTTACGCTCATCTACAGGCCAGGACTCTGCAGTTTACACTCATCTACAGACCAGTGGTCACTCTTTCAGAGAAGATGTTCTCATCCTTGATAGAGGAACGTTGGTTTGAGAGAGGAGTAAAAGAAGCCATTTTTGTGAAGAAAAACCGTCCATCATTAAACAGAGGTGGAGGCCTTCATGTTCAGTTGTCCTCCTCCTACAATGCTGTCATTGCAAGTATGACTCCGCCTCCTGTGAGCAAAAGGTGTGAATCAGGGCCCCAAAGATAGCCAGGTGATGGGGTACATGACCCTCCATGAACAATAGTTAAGGCACCAACGACCTATTGTTTGGCTGATGATCCTCTTTTGCATATGACCAACCTGTTTGTCCACCATGTGGAGGCGGAGCTTATAAGGCTGATTTCACCTGAAACTCCTCAGACTGAAGAAGTTTCTTGGAGGAGAGACGAAACATTTCATTAAAGAACCCATCCAGAGGACCTACTTATTTTTTTCTTTTTGATTTGATAAATACAGTCTTCAAACGTGCAGCAAGATCCTAAAAAGTATTTTTATCTTTGCCATTTTATAGACAAAGAGCATAAAAAGTGAATTTACAAACCTGTTAGAATATAAATAGTCTGGAATCTGTGAGGAACAAGATGTCAGAAAAGAAACATCATGACGCAGAACAGACGATGATTAGGTTTGGATGTGTGTGTGTGTGTGTGTGTGTGTGTGTGTGTGTGTGTGTGTGTGTGTGTGTGTGTGTGTAAAGAAAGAATAACGATAAAGATGCTGGGGGATACATCGTTTCAGCTTCCTGTCTCATATTTAATGCAACATAAAATGAATCATATGAATTAACAGAGCTGAAAATGTTACCTTAGATTCATCTGTTCAGAAAACAAGTTGTTATAATCATAATTATACGAGCAGTATAAATTAAGTAAAACGACCAGTTTAATGGGATTATGTAATGTTTTGTGTCTGTCTTTGTGTGGCATAAAAAATGTGTCTGATGAAACACGATGTATTGATTTAATATGATTTAGGGTCAATTCCAGTCGATGGAACCCTTCTTTTTTTAAAAGCTGTTATCTTTTCAAACAATCAATACAGCTGAGAAATCACAGCCCCCTTGATGTCCCCTGTTTTATGTTCTCCACCATAATCCATCCATTGATCCACACCGATCGATTTGTCCCGTCACTGGTTGATTTAACACGTGTGAAAACATTCGGATACAGTAATTACAGTAAGAGGGACACTCATTAGATCTCACTGAGCCACTTCAATGGTGCGAATCCTGAAGCGATTCATTAAAACCTCCCGTGAGAAAACGAGCAGCTCTCACACACTCAGAGGCTCCATAACAGCAGGGAATTGGAGATCTAACAAATCTATCCCAGCGATGATTAAATAAGTTATTTTCAGTGGTTTTCCTTTTAAACCATCCCCTCACTCAAGAACCTACTTTTCAGTTTTCTTTTTTTCTGGAACCTATTTGAGTGTAAAACTGGAGCAGGAGAAGCAGAGTCATCTCCCCACGGTGGATCTTTCCCACATCTCTTCTGATAGACTACAGTGGATCTCCTTCTCTGCTTCGCTTTTGAGAAAACATGAAATGTTTCAAAAGGATAACATAAAACAAGCACAATGTGGGATTTAATATCTCTTAGCGCAGACATCCACCATCGAGTATCTGTCAAAAGTAATTCACAGAGGTCAAATTCGATCCAAAACAACATCTTAGAATTGCAAATGTTTTCATTTGCAAAATACAACCCCTGGCAAAAAGTATGGAATCACCAGTCTTGGATGAGCACTCATTCAGACATTTACCTGGCAAAAAGTATGGAATCACCAGTCTTGGATGAGCACTCATTCAGACATTTCATTCTGTAAAACAAACTCAGATCAAAAACATGATACTATAATAAGGCCATTCCAAAGTGCAACTTGTTGGCTTTCAGGAACACTCAAAGAAATGAAGAGAAAACATTGTGGAAGTCAGTGAATGTTACTTTTATTGACCAAGCACGGGGCAAAAATGGAATCACTCAATTCTGAGGAAAAACTGGAGGTAGAAAATAAGGACACACCCAGTCAATTTCCTTTCCCTAAATGGACACCTGCCTCAGATTAGATCTGCTCGTTAGTCTGCAGTTAAAAACACCTGCAGTCATGACACCTTGGAGGGCTGCTGGACGAAGAGGAGTGGCAAGAACCATGGCGCCAACAAGTAAAATATCTCTTGAAACAAAAGAGAGGATTGTGAAACTTCTTGAAGAAGGTAACTCTTCACGCATGGTTGCTAAAGATGTGCGCTGTTCACAGTCAGCTGTATCCAACATATGGACCAAATACAAATAGCATGGAATGGTTGTTAAAGCCAAGCGTACTGGTAGACCAAGAAAGACATCAAAGCATCGAGACAAACAACTTAAGGCCATTTGTCTTGAAAACTGAAAAAGTACAACTAAACAGATGAAGCATAAATGGGTGGAAGCTGGAGCCATGTATGTGACCAAACCGTAAGAAATGACCTAAAGGAAATGGGGTTTGAATACAGGAAAGCTAAAAGAAAACCATCTGACACCTAAACAAAAAAGAACAAGACTGCAATGGGCTAAGGAGAGGCAATCATGGACTGTGGATGACTGGATGAAAGTTATCTTCAGTGATGAGTCAAGAATCTGCATTGGACAAGGTGATGATGCTGGAACTTTTGTTTGGTGCCGTCCAGTGAGATTTATGAAGAGGACTGCCTGAAGAAGACAACCAAATTTCCACAGTCCTTGATGAGATGGGGCTGCATGTCAGGCAAAGGCACTGGGGAGATGACTGTGGTTCATTCTTCTATCAAYRCACAAGTTTACATTGACATTTTGGACAGTTTTCTCATCCCTTCAGTTGAACAGATGTTTGGAGGTGATGAAATAATTTTCCAAGATGACAATGCATCGTGCCATAGGGCAAAAACAGTGAAGGCATTCCTTGGAGAAAGACACATTCAGTCCATGTCATGGCCTTCAAATAGTCCAGATCTCAACCCAATTGAAGACCTGTGGTGGAAATTGAAAAAAAAAAAAAGGTCCACAAGAAGGCTCCGACCTGCAAAGCTGATCTGGCAACTGCTATCAAAGAGAGTTGGCACCAAACTGATGAAGAATACTGTTTGTCACTCATCAAGTCCATGCCTCAGAGACTGCAAACCGTTATAAAAGCCAAAGGTGGTGCAACTAAATACTAGTGATGTATTTTGAATGGTCTTTTGTTGATCTGTTTTTCATGATTCCATACTTTTTTCCTCAGAATTGAGTGATTCCATACTTTTTTCCTCAGAATTGAGTGATTCCATACTTTTTTCCTCAGAATTGAGTGATTCCATATTTTCCCCCCTGTGCTTGGTCAATAAAAGTAACATTCACTGACTTCCACAATGTTTTCTCTTCATTTCTTTGAGTGTTCCTGAAAGCCAACAAGTTGCACTTTGGAATGACCTTATTATTGTATCATGTTTTTGATCTGAGTTTGTTTTACAGAATGAAATGTCTGAGTGCTCATCCAAGACTGGTGATTCCATACTTTTTGCCAGGGGTTGTAGTTTAAAATCACTTTGCAACTGCACCTCAAATCCCCCGAGCATATGCATAAGACACTAAATGTGTAGCATTTTCACAGTTTTATTAATGCACACCAGCTGAAACTATCAACAGTACAGTTTTAAACATTTTTAAAGAGATCAGTAGAGTTTGATAGTAACCTTGAGCATAACCTGGATAAATACTGAATAATGAAACAAGAAACAAACATCATTATTCGCTATTACTTATAAAAATACAAAGTATATTTAAGCCCTATAGGAGTGGAGAAAAATTTTAGTGTTTTTGACATTTTGAATTTTTAACACCGGGTATAACTTGGAAACAACCCCTTTTCTTTCTTATAGCAATTTAAAACATTGACTCTAAGTGTTTTCACATGCTTAATGAATAAAAAACACGGTTTTATTATAAATTTAGGAGCTAATTTTTTGTTTGAACAGTCATGCGACAAGAAAATAATTAAATAAACAAATTGTATACGTTTTCAGTCTTGTTTTTAGTTACCTAAAACTTTAAGCAAACCATAGCTCTGTGTCAGAGGTCCCTTAAAGCAGCCTGGGTAAAGCCGAGCCACAAAGACCCCCCTGAGCAGCCCCGCTCGGACAGCACCAGAGGCGCACAGACCCGCTCACCTTCTCCATCTGTCCCGCAGGAGCCGAGCAGCACGGAGGCGACAAACGCAACAATCCCAGCGACTTTTGTTCTCCTCGGAGACATGTTGGAAGCACAGGATGCTGAGGATCCCGCTCGTCCTTCAGCACCTCCTGCTCTGCTCCTCTCCAGCTCCGCTCCGGTGCGCTGCGCTGCGGCTGCAGCTGAGCCTGCAGCAGTGAGGGGAGGCTGGCCAGAAGCGCGTGAGAAGGAGGGGATGCTCTCACGAGTCAAGTGCAGCATGCAAAAAGAAAAAAAAAAAGAAAAAGACAAACAGAAATGAGGCTTGTCTGCAGGTGCAGGTCTGACACTGCAGCAGCAGCTGTCCTGTCCTGCTGAGACCCTGAAGAAGCTCAGAGAGCTGCTTCACACTTTCAGACCATGAGACCCAGTTTAACTGTTTCAGGAGCTGCCAGAACCAAACACAAGCAACTCTACTGTAAAAGAAACTAAAATAAAATGTTAAAACTAATACATTTTCATTTAGCTTTCCTCTAGCTTTTTATTGTTAGCTCACTGTTCTTACATTTATGCTCATTTTTATCTAAATGTTCAATTTAAATGTTAGAAAATTAAAAACATGTCATGTTGACCTGTTGCTCATTTATCTTAATCTCCTGAAAGGATGAATGCTGTAAGAATGAATTATCTCCTTAAAAACATTTGTAGGATGATTCAGACAAATAAAACATTAATGTTTCATAGTTACATTTCAGGCAATGATTTGTGTCAAACAACATAAAGGAACATGGGAACAATATTTTCTTTTATTCACATTTATAATCTTTAAATGAGAGAAGAGAGGTTCTCCTTTATTATGTAACTTTGACAAGCATTGTCTCTGATTATCAGATGCATGAGAACTCTTAGTTAAATGAAAAATAAATAAAATTAATTATTCTTTTTATTATCTGATTAAGGAAAAATAAAATGTCTCTCTGATGGCTGAGGTGACCTTTATGGCCTAAATTCAGTTTCTGTCTGTTTGGGCCTGTCAAATACGGTTTTGTTCTTTATTCCACTAGTTTGCTGTAAAATAATTAATCGGAGTCAGACTGTTGCACCAATTCCTCAAGTTTTCACAAAATGTGGCCCTAAATCCAAAATTTGTGCGGATGCAGGCGAGAATAACCCAGGGCGCAGGCGAAAACCCAAAAAGCGTAACCAAACAAGGCTGTTTGTGCAGCTATAAAAAAACTCACGAGATCACAAGGAGAACAGGACCACGAAGAACACGGGACACGCCACACTGGCTGAGTAAAACAGCACAATGATGGGACAAACACTGAAGACAGGACAGAATATGAAGGGAGAACTTAACGAGACAACAAGAAACACCTGGAGGAGACACAATCAGGTGAGCGGGGGCGGGGCCAGAGGAATGACAGAACACACAGGGAAACACTAAAACTCTAGAAAACTAAAGCAGAAAAAATTATTATAATGCAAATGAACTTTTAGGCTATACTTCTAGATGAAGATGTACAAATACACAAATTCACTTTATTTTAAATCCTGCACAAAGGCAACATTTTGTGCACAATTTGACAAAATAAAATTTAACATAAAAATATAAATTCTGAGGAAAGTGAAGACGGGGTTTGACCTCAAAGACTCGTCTGCAGAACCAACTGAAGATTTCTTTCGAGAAAAAACAGTAAAAAAAAAAAACAATCATCACACTGGAGCTTTTGAACTCAGTGTCAGGATGTTAGTTAAACTTTGGGTTTATGAATATTCAAGTGTGACATCTCATCAGTCTTGAATCGGGCACGTTTTAGCCCCGCACGCCTCCTCGCTGGGTGGAAAGTGAAATTTCCAAATAATTTGGCTCCCGATCAGTCAAACCCACACGCCAGATGTAGGTCAGCCATCATTATCTGTCAATCATCTGCGAATACCTGTGAAAACATCAATCTAAAGATCCTTCAAGCTGTGTGGAAACAGCAGTGGAGCCATGTGGGAAGGTCACGAGTGGGTGGGTCAGTTGTTTGTGTTCACCCACACAACTTTTGATCTTTTCCTCTCTGAGCGCTGATTCGTATCAAGGTCGCGTGTTGCTGCTGCTCTTTGAAGAGGGTCACTTTAGAACGGAGACCACGACAAAACAACACATTTCCCACCCGGCGATCCTTCGGTTTACACGTGGAGAAACTCGAAAGACACACATGACCCAGAATCGGGTGAGAAGAATCGTTCTATTTTCAGAAGTTACACAAATTTAAGGTACTTTTGACACAAACAGGCTCATAAAGTTGACATTGAGCTGTGCCACAAAACAAGCGTATTAAGACAAATCCTCCAAGAGGATTATTTGCACTCCGGTTCTTCCAAAGGAAACTTCATTTGATCTTGTTAGACTCAAGAAATCACAAAACTTTGCAGGTTCTTAAATATTAATCAGCAGGCTAAGATTCTGCACCTGAAAACCATCCAAATAAATTTCACTTTTTTGGCATCGCTGTCTGTGCAACATTAAACAGAAAAGTTTAAAACATCCTAAAGAAAACATCCAGACTTCTTGCAGTCTGTTTTCATTATCCACATGCAGTGAGGAGATGATAGTTATTTTAATGATGCTGAAAAATAATAACAGGTAAAAGCTTAGTTGTTGAGAGTTGGAGGGACGAGGAAGGAGAAACAAAGGCCCACAGGTTTTTCCTTTGTGCTAATCCTGCTCTACAACCTTAAAGACGAATTAACAGATTCACCCCCGTTTTTAGCACCATCTTAGCCTGGCCCTTCACAGTTCCAGTCAGTTCTGTGTCCCACTAGTGCCACTTAGTGTAGTGTCGGTACGGTTCGGTATGGTTCCAAGTCATTTCCATTAGGCCAGGTTCGTGGAATCAGCCTTTTTTTAGTACCTACTTCATGTATGGGCACTCCTGGTCCTGGAGGGCCGCAGCCCTGCATGTGTTACTTGTTTTTCTGTTCCAACACACCTGATATGAATGAATAGATGATTATCAGGCTTCTGTAGTACGGAGGCCCAAAACTGACATAATTAGAAATAAATGCAGAATTATATGAACCACTAAATAAAATACACTTAAAATGCACCAATTAAATGAAAAAAGGAGAACTTATCTCCTGTTTCATTTTATATGTAAGAATATTCGTGTTCAAAGACTGAAGTCAGTAGAAAACCACCAATGTTAAATAAGATGATTGTTAGACGAGATAAAACCATACAAAACCAGAATTCTGGGAGTGAGGATTTAATGCCATTCGGATCTGACAGGAAACCACACACTGACTCACAATCAGGAAGTACATGTTTTTATACACGATTCTTAAATACCTGAGTTCGCCCCCTACTGACCTACGGCTGAATCACAGACATTCAGACAAAAACCTCAACCTAATGTTATAAAAACGGTTCACTTATGTGTTGTTTATGATTCGGACATGTAGCTACTCTATTTCAATTAACACATAATAGATTAAACATTATAAAAGTATTATAAAAAGGAAACCCTGATACTCTAGTGTTGTTTCTAATATCAGTACTAATCTGTAATAACTATAAATTTCTTCAGTATTACAACTAAAACCGTTTTTGACGCCGCCACCGCAGTTTGTCCTTCATGAGCCTTCGTAGACAAGATGGT